TTTGAACAGTAAAACAGCAGAAAGGCGTCATGGCACACTCACAAACCAGCATGTAAAACAACTTGTCTCACCACTAAGGACAATGACAGAGGTTTGGATACACGTCTTCTGCCCCCATGTGCTCCAAGATGGAGACTCTCATAGTTTAGAGTTAGGACCGCAGTATATAGAGGTGCCTTGGCGCGGCTGTCCGGCTTTCACATTTTCTGCAGAAGACGTGTATCCAAACCTCTGTCATTGTCCTTAGTGGTGAGACACGTTGTTTTACATGCCGGCCGGTGAGTGCGCCATGACGCCTTTCTACTGTTTTACCATTCCCCCCAACGACACCAATGCCGGGGCACCATTCCCGCAACGACACCAATACCGGGGCACCATTCCTCCCAACGATGCCAATGCCGGGGCACCATTCCTCCCAACGACGCCAATGCCGGGGCACCATTCCTCACAACGACGCCAATGCCGGGGCACCATTCCCACAACGACACCAATACCGGGGCACCATTCCTCCCAACACCAATACCGGGGCACCATTCCCGCAACGACACCAATACCGGGGCACCATTCCTCCCAATGACACCAATGCCGGGGCACTTTTCCTCCCAACGACACCAATGCCGGGTCACCATTCTTCTCACTGACACAGGGAAATGTATCCCTCCCACTGACCACCAACACTGGGGCAGTTGTAACTCCCATTGATTAGCGACACAGGGGCATTTATTACACCCACTGACGTTGGGGCAATTGTCTTTTACCCCCACTGTTCTCCAACACAGGGACATATTTATCCTATTTCTGGCCCCAGTCCGGCCTCCAAATAGTCTGATGGACGGTGACCTGGCCCCTTTGTTTCACAAGGACCCCTGCATACGATCTTAGGGACCCCTCAATGAAAGGTATTTTAGTTTCACATATTTGGATGTTATATAATAAGAAGATTATATACACTGGTCTTCACCCGACTTATAAAATCTTGTGACAAAATTTCTGAGCCCGTGGTTCTCAACTGGTGGGTGGTGACCCAAAAGTGGGCTGCGGCCCTGTGTTCAGTGGGTCCCCGCATGCCTTCCACTTTTCTAGGCGAGGGGCTCCTCAGCCTCCCCCTAGCGCAGCTCTGTCAGTCCTCGCGCCGTAGAGAGAGACACCGACTTACGCTAGTGGAGGGGGGAGACACTGTCCGACGTTGGGGTCCCTTAAAAATGTCCTCGGCCAAAAAGGGGTCACGAGTGGAGTCAGTTTAAGAAGGCCCAGGCACGCATGGGAGCTGTACAAGCAACGCACATATGGAAGGAGCTCCGTCACAGCGCAGCAGCCCACACCGGACCCCAGGCTGAGGATCCGCTACGGTTCTCATATGGTCGGGAGACTGGATGGATCTTGGCGTGTGTATACGTGTATGTCATTGTGTGTGCGGTTGTGCGAGTCCGTCAGTGTTTCTGAGGGCCCGTGCACACCAGTACGGTGCGTTAATCGAACGGCCCTGTGCCTTTAATGCACCGTACCACACCATCGCACCTACTATATGTTCTGGTGCGGGAGGTGCGTTGCCATATCATTTGAATGGGACCCCAAATGCACCTCCCGCCTACAGTACAGTTGCCCGGACCAGAACGTGCGGTACTGCCATGCCATGCGTTCCATTGCAGTGCGGCTTGGGTCGCGACTTAAAGGAGAACTACGAGGTCAGTGTTTTTCCCCATAGTTCTCCTCAGGGTAACGGGGGGGACACAAACTGGCGTCCTCCCGTCACCCTAGGCTCAGTATATAGGGAGCTACAGCTCGCGGTATACTGAGACGCCGCAGACGGGACGGATCCCGACAATTATGCCGGGATCCGCTCCGGCTGCGTGAGTGACAGCTGGCTCCGCATATCTAGAGCTGTACCCGCCCCCTCCCCCGTCCGTTCCACCAGTCAGCGCTGCAGGATCGGAGCGGGGAATCCAGCCCCTCCCCCTGTCACGGCAGAGAGCCGTGACAGGATCGAGAAGTGAGCGAGCGCCGGTATGTGTTCCCTCACCTCCCGATCTACTGAGCCGACCTGTGACAGTCTCATTGGTCACAGGTCGGCTAGAACTATGAGGTGAGTGAAAAGCCCCTCCCCCTCATAGTTCTCCTTTAATGGCCGAGGACAAATGCGGGTCCCTGGGTTACACGGAGTGAGAGCCGCTGGTCTAAGCGCAATGTAACATGAGTGATGAAGGTTCACCAGGAAGAAGATGTTGTCCTGAGCCGCGTTGGGAACCGGCCGCGTCGGCGTTTCCCAGAACACAGAACGGTGAAATATTTATTTGTATGAATCGGCACGGCTGGGAGTACCGTCACTTTATGGTGGGCGGGGCCGGTCTATGGCAGCCGAGAAGTCTTCATAATGAAGTGCGGTGGTCAGCCCCACATAACGCAGTCCGCTCCCTCCACCGAGTACATTCTACCCGGATCCACTTACGCCGACGCAGTAATGGCGCGCCCATGTCTTCATCCATCTCCCGGAGGAGCTCCAACATCTCCCTATAAGTGCAAAGCGGCCATTATTCATCATTAGAGCCGCCTCCTCACCATGATCAGCCTAAAAATATCCTCCGCTGAGGGCCACTAAAGAGCAGAAAGCGGGAATCGCCGGCACTCAGCAAATACCTTCCACGTCCATTGAATCGGACCGATCGTCATAGGACAAAACCAACGTTTCTGGGGCCGCACAGGGTCCCTTCATCAGGGTGACAACGCACAGGGTCCCTTCATCAGGGTGACAACGCACAGGGTCCCTTCATCAGGGTGACAACGCACAGGGTCCCTTCATCAGGGTGACAACGCACAGGGCCCCTTCAGGATGACACAGCGCAGCCTTCC